GGCCCTCCTACATCAGGCCAGGGCCCACCCTTCCAACACTATCCCAGGCCCCACCTCTCCCTACTCAGACCTCTCCTATCTCCAACCCCGTTGCAAATTCTTCCCTCTCTCCTCCAGACTGGTTTCCTGCAATCTTCACCCCGGGAGCCACCACTGCCATGGCCGGAGCCACCACTGCTGCCCGCCCACCCTCCTTTGCGACTCCCCGAGCCCTCTACCCGACTCACACAAGCCGACCCCTCAGCAGAACCACAGCCCACCCCACCACTCACCGACCTCCCACTACTGCCCCGAGCCGTGTGCACGGACGCTGGCCTCTGCTTCCAGTCACCCCACGGCCCCCGCGGCCCTGTGACTCCCAGCCCTGCCTTCACGGTGGGACCTGCCAGGACAGGGATGCCAGCCAGGCTTTCAGCTGCAGCTGCCCCAAGGGCAGGGGGGGCGCCGTCTGTGAGACGGGTAGGAGAATAGGTTGGCGATGTAGGGGAATGGGTCCGGGTTAAGGGTGGAGAACAAGTTGGACAGTGGGAGGGACAGAGTTGGGGGTGTGCCAGCCAGCTGCTTCTGCCATCCCCTGGCCTGACCCACCCCACCTCTCCTTAGTGCTAGGACCTGCGGTGCCAGCCTTTGAGGGCCACTCCTTCCTGGCTTTCCCCACACTGCGCGCCTACCACACGCTGCGCCTGGCATTGGAGTTCAGGGCACTGGAACCACAGGGGCTGCTACTCTACAATGGCAATGCCCGTGGCAAGGACTTCTTGGCACTGGCCCTGCTAGGGGGCCACGTGCAGCTCAGGTGCACAAGACCGGGCTGGAGGAGGGAGGCCTTGGAGTTGGAGGGGTGAGTCCAAGTGACCATCCTGAGCACCACCCTATGTTCCCCAGATTCGACACCGGCTCGGGGCCCGCAGTGCTCACCAGCTCGGTACCCATTGAGCTGGGCCGTTGGCACCGCTTGGAGCTGTCTCGGCACTGGCGCCAGGGGACACTGTCAGTGGACAGCGAGACTCCTGTAGTTGGGGAAAGCCCCAGTGGCACCGATGGCCTCAACCTGGACACAGACCTTTTTGTGGGTGGCGTCCCTGAGGACCAAGCCACTGTGTGAGCACCGGGGGTGGGGGTGGGGAGCTCTGACTCCTGACCCTTGCTTGTGGGTGGCATTTAGGGGGCTTAAGCTATTAGCAAAAAGGTAGGGAATGGAATCTGGAGAATTCTGACTCTAATCTTGACCTTGATCCCTGGCCTTTGACCCTGTCCTATCTGCAAGTGGTGTAGCTGAGGACCAAGTTGGTGTGTCACCACCTAGGAGGGCCTATGCCACCTGCTCTTTAGTCTTGACCCTTGATCCCTAACCCCACCTTCTGATTCTGCCCTCTTTGTGAGATTGGTCATCCTGTTATCTCGTGAGCACCAAAGAGGAATGGGGTGATAAAATAGGGGCACCCTGGAGCCCAGCTGCTGATGCTGGGTTATTGGGGAGTTCGTGGTTTAAAATTGTAGGAGAGGCTTTCTCTAGCTTCTGGCCTCTGATGTCTGACTTCTTGGATGGCAGGGTACAAGAGCGAACTTCAGTCAGCGCTGGCCTGAAAGGCTGCATCCGTCTGCTGGACATTAACAACCAGCAGCTGGACCTGAGTAGTGAGGAGGCCATGGCCCGTGGTGCTGGTGTGGGTGAGTGCAGCAGATAATGCCAGCCTGCCTGACCCCTCTCATAGAGGCGCCCCATGCCAGCCCTTAGAGGCTGAGGCGACTTGGAGTCTGGAGTGGGTGCTTGAGCCTCATGGGACCCCCTCCATCCTCGTCAGGCCTGACCTGCGCTGATGAAGAGAGTCCCTGTCAGCCCAACCCCTGCCATGGTGGGGCACCCTGCCGCGTGCTGTCTGAGGGCAGGGCCAAGTGCGAGTGCCCGGTGGGACGATGGGGCGCCTTCTGCCAGACAGGTGAGGGCCATGAGGATGGGTGATGGTGAAAGGTCAAAAGTTAGGATCCAGGGCTGGCATTTGGATTAGAAATAGTTTTTGGGTGCAAGTTCCTATTTGAGTTAGGGTTGAAATTCAAGTTCACATCTGGGCTAGAAATGGGTTTTGAGGTAGGTTGGCACAGAACTGCGGGGTGAGTAGGAGGATTGTGGGGCAGGTACCTCAGTGTCCCCACGTGACCCCGTCCCTTGCCTTCTAGTCGCAGAGCATGAAGGCACCTTGCCCTTACTGGCTGACTTCAACGGCTTCTCCTACCTGGAGCTGAAAGGCCTGCACACCTTCGAGCGAGACCTGGGGTCTGTGGACTAGGGGCAAGGGATGGAAAGCAACCCAGGGGTCTAGTCAATGAAGAGGCACGACAAGAGGACCCTAACTGACCCCGTGTGATCCCCAGAGAGAAGATGGCACTAGAAGTGGTATTCCTGGCCCGAGGTCCCAACGGTCTGCTCCTCTACAACGGGCAGAAGACAGATGGCCGGGGGGACTTCGTGTCTCTGGCGCTACATGGCCGACACCTGGAGTTCCGATATGATCTGGGCAAGGGGGCAGCGGTCATCAGGTGGGCAGCTCTCTGGGACACTGGGGTAGGTGGCAGGCCGGCACCAGCGTTGGTCGCAGGCTCACAGCACTCCTTTTCCTCTAGGAGCAAGGAGCCAGTGGCCCTGGGCACCTGGACTCGGGTCTCCCTGGAGCGCAGCGGCCGAAAGGGTGCCCTGCGTGTTGGTGATGGTCCCCGAGTGCTGGGAGAATCCCCGGTGAGTCCCCATCCCTCCTCGTCTGGCCCTTCCTCTCGGACGTGCACAGCCTCCCCCTTCTGGCTCTCACTAAACTGTTTTCTCTCTCCCTGTCTGCGCCCTGCCTGGTCTGGTCTGTCTGTCCGTCTCTCTCTATGCTCCCTGCTCTCTGGCTCTCGCTCTGCAACCCCCACCCCGCTCTTCGGATCTCAGAAATCCCGAAAGGTACTGTCTGAGAGGTTCTCCTCCCTAGAGTAGCCTCCCCGCCCCGCTAAGGAGCCTCGCGGCTGTTCCTGTTACCAACTCACCTCCAGATAGGCGGGCCAGCGTGTTGCAGGAAGGCGGCCCTGGGTGGGCTTGCCAGGCCCAGTGTCCCTGGCCTGGCCTGACGGACAGGCCCTGCAGGCCCCTCACTCAGTGTCTCCCCCAGGTGCCGCACACAGTCCTCAACCTGAAAGAGCCGCTCTATGTTGGGGGAGCCCCCGACTTCAGCAAACTGGCCCGGGCTGCTGCCGTGTCTACTGGCTTTGATGGTGCTATCCAGATGGTATTTAGGGGGCAGGGCCTGTGGGGAGACTTCAGGGGGACCTTCCCAGCAGGGCACAAGGGAATATAGAGGGTTGCTTTCCATGGGTTCTGTCCCATGGGCTCTCTAGAGGATGAGGGCCAGGTTTGGTTGTTGGGTAGGGCTTTTCTGAGTGGAGATTGGGGGGTCCGTGGGTAGAGCCTTAAAGTGTCCTCATGCAGGGTGACAGCTGAAACACCACCATCTGTTCCCACAGGTTTCTCTAAAAGGCCATCAGCTGCTGACCCAGGAGAACTTGCTGCACATAGTGGACGTCTCATCTTTTACAAACCACCCCTGCACCCAACCCTCAGGCCACCCCTGCCTCAACGGGGCCTCCTGCCTTCCACGGGAGGCTGCTTATGAGTGCCTGTGTCCCGGGGGCTTCTCAGGCCCACACTGCGAGAAGGGTGAGCACTCAGGGGTGCAGGGATGTGGGCACAGAAAGCCCTGGCAAGGCCCCCTCTCACCTGCTGTATCTCAGGGCTGATTGAGAAGTCAGCGGGGGACCTGGACGCTCTGGCCTTTGATGGGCGGACCCACATTGAGTACCTCAATGCTGTGACGGAGAGGTAATGCTCCACTCCCTGTCACCTGTCTGTTCCTGTCTGCAGCACAGGCTTCCAGACTCGGGCCCTGTGGTCGTGTGGTCAGGAAGGTAAACCTTACACTGCCCTCGCCCACTGGCATGGCCCCGGCTTCCCTCTCACTGTCTCTGTCTCTTTGTTTCCAAGCGAACTGACTAATGAGATCCCAGCGTAAGTAGCCGCCCGGGCCCACTGGCACCACTGCGCTCAGCTCCATCCATCTGTCCCCTTGCCCACCCAACATCTCCATCTTGAGCCCCTCATCCTAGATGAGGAGGATGTGGCCAGGCCAGTGTCTGTGCTTTTGCAAAGCTCCATCTCCTCTCGGAAATGGACGGTTCCCCCTTCCTAGGACTCAGGCTGTGTGGTCTCAGGCAGCCCACTAGGACCCAGGACTCCCTTCACCGAGGACTGGGCACCTCATCTATCCCTGCAGCCACTTCCCTCACCAGGGAGGCACCAGCACAAATGTGTGTGCACCCTGTGTGTGTGAGCTGTGCGTGAACGTCCCGTGTGCTTGTGTGGAAACGTGCAGGCATCTTGGGCCTCTACAGGGCTAAGGTCCCTTCAGCTCCATTCCACGCCACCCCATGCCTCCCCCGTTGAGCTCTGTGCTGGACGTGGGTCCATCCCACCCGCTGCGTAACATATGTGTGTCTCGTGTCACTGTCAGGATTCTTTGGGGAGAGGGTGGAGCCAGTGGCTGGGGCCTCGGCTCTTCTGGGCTCTTGCTCCTCCCACCGTCCGGCATCCACAGCAGGACGTGGGATGGGACAGTGACCAGGCCCTTCCCCTGCGCTTTGCCTTTCCCCTGCTCACCTGCCTTCCTCTCTTCCCACATCTAAGCCCTGAAGCTCCTGAACCCGGAGCCTCTCACAGGTGAGCACCTGGCAGTGCCCCCTGGACCGGGCTGCTGCCTTCTCGCTGCCCGTTGCTGCTCTCTCGTCTCGCTCATCTCTGATCAGCATCGTGCTGCTCCTTGATGTCCCGTTGCTCGCCACCTCCTCTTCCTTCACTTTTGCTCTGTGTCTGCCTGACTATCCTTGCCTACCTTTCTGCCTCACTGTCCACATTTGCCATCTGCCCGTTCACACCTCCCTGAGTCCCCCTCCTCAGCCTCATGGCCTTGGCCTACATGGTCCTGGGGCCCGAGGTCGGCTGTCCGTGCTCCCTCCTAACACTCTGGCCCCTCCTCCAGTGAGAAGGCATTGCAGAGCAACCACTTTGAGCTGAGCCTGCGCACGGAGGCCACGCAGGGGCTGGTGCTGTGGAGCGGTAAGGCCACCGAGCGGGCCGACTACATGGCGCTGGCCATCGTGGATGGGCACCTGCAGATGGCCTACGACCTGGGCTCCCAGCCTGTGGTGCTTCGCTCCACTGTCCCCGTCAACACCAACCGCTGGCTGCGGGTCAAGGCGCACAGGTGAGCTGGGAGTGTGCTGGCCGATGGGTGGTGGGTGGGGTACACCAGCAACAGTATAGGCTGAGGGGCTCCTGTCTGGAAATGAGGTCCTTGCTCTGCCACGTGCTGGTAAGGAATACTTCTGAGGACTCTTTTGTGCTGTTCAGCCGCCTATCACTCTCTTGGGGGGAGAGGGAGCTGACAATGTTCCCTTTTAAGGGGTATCATCTACAAGGTATCAGGTCAGGATCTAGAGGTGGCAGAGAGCCCCCAGGGTCACCTGATGGTCTCCCCACCCCAGGGCACAGAGGGAAGGCACCCTTCAGGTGGGCAATGAAGCCCCTGTGACTGGCTCCTCCCCACTGGGCTCATCACAGCTAGACACAGATGGAACCCTCTGGCTGGGTGAGTGTTGTGGTGGCCCCGGGGTCATCAGGGGTCCCGGGGCTCAGAGGGACTGCTCCCAGCCCCCCAGGACAAGTTACTGAGGGCAGAGCTGACTTGGCCTGGCCCAGGACAAGCTGGGTGAGCTTGGGCTTAGTCCTTTCCTCCACAGCCTTGCATGGCCCGGCACTATGCAGTGTGTCACTGCTGGTGGGTGCCCTGGCCTGCACAGCCCTAGGCTTCATTGAGTGACCTCTCTGTCTGATCTGCAGGGGGCCTGGAGAAGTTGCCCACAGGCCAGAGCCTGCCCAAGGCCTACAGCACCGGCTTTGTGGGCTGCCTGCGGGACGTGGTGGTGGGCCAGCGCCCACTGCACCTGTTGGAGGATGCTGTCACCAAGCCCCGTCTTCGGCCGTGTCCTGCCCCCTGAGCTGGCTGGGCCAGGAGCCCCCACTGCCACCACCGTCCACCTGCTGTAATTATTTTCTATTTTTGTAAACTTGTTGCTTTTTGATATGATTTTCTTGCCCGTGTGCTGGCCGGAAGGACTGCTGGCCCGGCCTCCCTTCCGCCAGGCAGCCGCACTGCAGACAAAACCCAGAGCCAGGACTTCTGTTAGGGGTCCAGCAGCAGGAGGCCAGGCTCAGCTGGACACCTCAGACACGCCCCTCGACGTGGGCTCCTGCATCGCACTGAGGCTCCTGATGGCTGCACTGACTGTCCCATTGTCTTAACGTGTCTCCTGTGCTGTCCCCTTTGTCCCCAAGCCCGTCCACTGGCCCTTGCACATGTCACTCATGCCCTCTGGCAGCGGCCTGTGTTACCAGAGCAAATAGGCCTCAGGTCTTGCCAGGAAGGTGCTGAGGCTCAAGGGGGTCCCCAACTCCCCAGCCCTGCAGGACCTTTCTGGGGTTTCTTTCTGAGTTACTCCCCATCAGGGGTGCATTATGGGCCGGGGACCAGCCTCACCTTAGGGCCTAGCCCTGTCTTGGGCTTTTTGTGCCAATACTGTGACTTTGAAACTTTGTTACCGTCAGGGTCGCACCCTGTCCCCCATGAAGCTGTGCCCAGCAACCCTAGGGTGCCAGGGAGGAGAAACCAGGCCACACCATTCTCAGTGCCCTGACCTTCAAGGATCCCACCTCTCCAACTGGCCCCAATAAATGTGGCCATGCTCACCGCCCCCAACTCCAGGCCACTGGGGGGTGCCCCAGGGAGCGTGTGGGTATTACAAGTATGAAGTGATTGACCTCTGTTGCCTGCCTGCCTAGGCCAAAGGCACCCCCACGTCTAAGGAACTGGGGCATTCAGGCCTGGCCACCAATCACAAGAGTGCTTTGTGTATGATGTTATTTAATACTTAGAAATGGAGTGCTCAGCCTTTTTGTCAGGGCCAAGTGCAGCTGTGCGCACAGTGGACGCCACCTCCTGGCAGACACTCCGGTTTGGGTGCGAGGGGCAGTGTCCTTGCACAGGCACTTGGAGGGTCCAGAACTGCCTTAAACTGCAGCGTTGCGTCCATCCTGTCCCCTTACCCTGTGTCGGCCCTCTGGGTCGAGGTGGTGACCCGGACACCCCCACTCCCTAAGCTGAGCTGCCACAGGCTCGAGACTCAGAGGGGCAGGGAGCCACCTGGTGTAACGTTACTAACCCAGTGCTGTCTGTCGGTCACCATGAAATAAAGTCTCAACACTTCTAGGGGGGTGCTCATGTCTGTCCTCACTTCCCAGCCTGGGGCCCACCTGGTTCAGCCTCATGTTGGGGGCGCTGGGTGGAGGGGGTAGATCTGTACTATGAACTGGTGAGGGATTTCTTTTGCCTGAAGAGGCCTCATGCACGCAAGATGACAGACACCATCCAGAATTCTGCTGGACCAGGGGCTTGATGCTCGAGATGGGTTTCTTGGAGACAGGAGACAGCTTGGTTGGTGCAGGCCTTGCAGGCTTCCCTTCTGTGCTTGTGTGTTTGTCCTTGGGACAGTAAGCATGGGAGTTTGAGGAGAGCAGTCTGGTGAGGAGGGCCTGATGGAGTGAGTTGGAAGTGGCAGGCAGACCTCTCCACCACCTGAGTGCACAGAGGGACCCTTGTTGTTGCTGTGGGACTCTTGCCAACTCCCTGTCTTGCCCCACCCAAGACACTTGCAGATGACCCCAGAGCGCAACCCCCCACCCCAGCCGGTGCGAGTCTCAAGGGTGGGGTGTCCTGGTGCAGGTGAGGAGCTGACATTATGGGTCCAAAACGTCCAGCTGACCACCACCTTTCAATTTGTTTTTCATTAAACATAACAAAATGTTCTATGGAGTTTGTGTTAATTGGAGGGGGAAATGCAAATAAGAAAGTGAGAGCTCCTGTCGTCTCAAGGTCCAGGTAATCTCACCTGTCTGCTGCCCTCTGGTTGATAAACTAGATTGTTCAAGAAACTAGTGTGGCACTTTGTGCTGGGCAGGTGCCAGGTGCCAGGGATGGAGGGAAGACAATAAACTGATGATCACTCTGTTACAGTCCTCAAAGGCTCTGCGAAGGGTGTGCAGGTAGCTGGGAGCTCAGATGGTAAAGGACTGGATCAGCTTAGGGCTTCGGGGAGGCTCAGAAACCAAACCAGGACCTGAGGATGGGCAGGTGACAGGGCATCCTGCTGTTGTATCAGACGCCAGGTCAGCTAGCTGGTAGGAGCCTCCAAAGAGTAGGCAAAGGCAGAGTAAAGGGTTTACCTCTGTGGTTTTATATTTGACTGATGATTTACCAGTCATTCTGGTTTCTCTTCATTCATAGACTTTGTCCTATTAATTACCGTTGATTAACTTGATTAGTGATAATGTCTGATCAACCCGGTAGGGGAGCTCTGGTAGGATAAAGAGTCGTGCTGCCAACCCAAAGGCTTTGAATTCACCAGCTGCACTGCGGCAGAGAAATGCAGCCTCCTCCTGAATGATTTATAGTCTCTAAAAACCTGCTAGGGAGTCAGCTATGAGTTGATTCTGACATGATGGCACATAACAATATAGCAATAGCCAACTACTCGCCCCTTCCTCCCCTTCCATACCTATTGAACCTCCAAGATCACTTGTATCTGTTTGTATACCTTTTCTTAGCTTTTTATTTTAGTGTCTCCTGATGGACAGCAAAGAATAGAAGAATAATGTCTATCTGTTCTTTATTGACTAGGCAAAGACTGGATCATAGCAAATATGGCTAACATTGAGAAGAGTGGGGATTCCAGAACACTGAATTGTGCTTATGCTCAACCTGTACCTACCCTAAGAGACTGTTGTGTGAACAGGACAAGGGAACTCTGCATGATTTTAAATCAGGGAAGATGTGTGTCAGGGTCGTATCCTTTCTGCATACCTAGTTAGTCTGTACTGAGAAGATTATTTGAGAAGCTGGGCTCAATGAAGAAGACTGTGGCATCAGGAATGGAGGAAGACTCATCAATAACCTTCATTATGCAGATAATACAACCTTGCTTGCTATAAGTGAAGAGGACTGGAAGCACTTGCTGCAGGAGATTAAAGACTAGTCTTCAGTGTGGATTGCATCTCGACATCAAGAAAACAAAACCCCTAGCCAACTGGACCAATAGGCAGCACGATAGATGAAAAGATCGACTGTCAGTCACTTCATCTTGAATACACAATCAATACACTTGGAACAAGAAGTCAGGAAATCAGGAGATGTACTGGATATGTCTAGTCAGGGACCTCTCCAAATTATTAAGAAGCAATGATGTCAGTTTGAGGACTAAGGTATGCCTGATTCAGGCCATAGTCTTTTCAAGTTCATTACTATGTATATGAGAGCTAGACAATGACTACAGATTGACAGAAGAATTGACGCCTTTGAGCTGTGGTGTTGGAGAAGAGCACTGAACATTCCAGGGACGGCCAAAAGAACAAATATGTCTTGGAGAGGGTGCAGCCAGAGTGCCCTTTGGAGGTAAAGATGATGAGTCCTGATGATGGGCATGTTGCTAGGAGAGGCTATTCCTTGGAGAGGGACATGATGCTTGGGAAAGTGGAGGGATGACAAAAGAGAGGAAGACACTTAACCAGGTGGGTTGACACAGTGACTGCAGCAATGGCCTTGAGGATATCAGAAACTGAGGAAGGGACAGGGTTCAGATCTGTTGTTCATAGGATTGATAGGAGTCCTAAC